GTCCTAGACAGGAATCAAACTTACAACCTCCATAACACCGGTCAGATGCTCTGCCCATCAAGCTACTAGAACTTCTAGGGAGGTAGGCCGGTTTATCTGAAAGGGAAATGTATCCCGCTGGTCTGCGGGCTCTACAAGGTCAAGCGCCTCAGTTTTACAAATACATCATCATGACAGTATTTGTATGTATATAGTATGTGTTAATTTACTTTTTTGTCTCCATAAGATAATTATTATTGAGTCTTCACAGCGTTATTCACAAAAATGTACTGAAATGGTTAGGGGAGGGTTTCAGAGTAATAATTATTATTGCATACAAGTTTTAACTACATTTTGAAGTTACCTAACCTGACAAGATTAATTTCATTCACAATTAATTGTAGATTTTGCAAAATAATGTTGCTTACTAATGATAGCAAGAAAATAATTATTTTTAGAGATAATCAATAGTAACACAAATGATTAAAAGGCACATGATCCTCATAACATGCAGTTTGTTCAATACCAATGATTGCTTAATTTTAATAACTCAATTTTGTCTAAAATTATAAAGTACAATAATGTAGCCATGAAAATAACTGCTTATTTGTACATGACATACACTTGTATGGCTGGAATGTAATTAATGGAGGTACCAGTAGTTACCCATGCAAGTAAAATACAGTGTATGCAACAAAAACACAGCTCTTTCTCTCAATGTCTCCTCTAAAACTAAAACTCTGTGTATCACCATCATCTAATTGTCTATTGATGTGTTTGCGGTTTGTGGAAAACAGTAACAATGATATTTTTGTGATATAAATATACTGTACAATTAAAGCAGAGCTTACTTCACCAAATGAGCTGTCAAATATATACAGTGGCCTGTCATCTTTTTGGTGCATCATGTATTCAGCATAGTATTTCATTTTCATTTTCACAGCATAACCATCATCATCTTCACCAACTTTGACCTTTTGATGTCTGTACTTCTTTGTGAGTTTCTGTAACAAAAGGCACAAGCTTAATTTGTGATTCTTAACCATTAACTTGAAAATGACTTCTGCGTCTTCTGTTGAAATACTGCATGTTTACTTGAAAATAATAGCAGCCATTTTACACTTAACTTTGTCAGCTAATAAGAAAATACCCTATCCACAAAAAACCAAACACCTTCAATTATTTTAAATGAAAATTTTCCACCTTAAGCTCACAATAATTTTGACCCCATCTGTGACTTACACTATTAACATATGCATGAAGAAATAGCCCATACAAAGTTTCATTTATTACTGTTCTCTTATGAACACATGCACCCTAAAGATCAACTTTCAACAAAATAATGGTTGCATTTTTTAGCTGTGGCTAAATTGTATTTTCAGGCCTGAGATAGTTGGTGGACTGTTATATAAACAGAAATGAACAAATTGGATTGAAATCAGCCAATCACAAGACTGCATGTGATCCATCAACTTGTTCTACTACAGTGAATGACAGGAGTGAAAAAAGAAACTGATGACTGGCATTTGGATTTAAGAGTCTACATGTCAATTAAAAAGAAAAATAAATATGTGCACTGTATTGTATACAGTTGTTCATTACCTCAACTGTCCACTTTCTCATTCCTCTCCAGTGATCCATGGTATGCATTAACACTACACGGATTCTGGGCTTTTCAAATCTCTCCACAAATTCTGATTTAGAGATCTTATTGCAATCTTGCATTGGGACATTGTCTTTTACACTTCCAAAGCTTGTGTCAAATTCCTGTACATAATTCAACTTGCTCTATTTCAAAGATAGAGTTGGAAATTAATGAATTAATTCCTTAACTGCTGGCAGATTTTACCTAATTAATTAGGTTGGTTTTGGAAACTAGTGGCTTGGCAATGGGCAAAAGGACAACTGAAAAATCAAAGTCCTGGGCAGGACTTGAACATACAACCTCCGTAACACCACCATTGAGCTACTACAACTCCAAGGGACCGACTGGTGTTATAGTCTTTTAAAAATCCCACAGACACATACATGTACACCTTAAACGTCAACACTTGTATTTCTAAACTTGTAAATGTTGGCACATGACTCTGCAGAGTCAGCAGACCAGTGTGACACTAATGTCCATTCAGGACCTAGATAATGAGCTACAATAGCTCCCCAGGTCGTACTGGTACGGTCATACTGGTTTGAATCCTGCCAGCTAGGACTCTGATATTTCAGCTGTCAATTCACCATCACCAAGCAACTAGTTTCCCATCCTTCCCACAGGCACTTAATATTTACACCTTAAACATCATTAGCTGCATAATTAACTTGGTTTATTTCAATTAGCTTAAAACCAGGAAAACTATCACTGCTACCACACTTGCAATTACTTTTAACAAACCTTTATCACTAGCTCTCTCAAATTATTATTAATATTGATCAAACAATGTAATAATAATTTATTGCAGTAATACTGGTCTCACAGGAAGTCAATCTCAGATGCATGACCACTCAACACAAGCAATGACATTTTCTGATTGGATTACCCTTACTATGGTGACAGTACTGCCAAAGAAGATATTTCCATGAACAGTCAGTCAGAATTTCCTGGAATTTCTAGCACTACAAATTTCCCTTTGATTCAGTGTGTAAACACCCAATAGAAAGACATATGTATGGGAAGACAGACATTAACCACTGCAAAGAGTATGATTTCTTTTTTAGTCTGGGATAGAACTACTAATCTGATATCTCAAAAAAAAAACATTAGAGATTCATGAGTTGCTATTTTTTCTGTACTTATGTTGCCAAATTGTAGACTTTTGCAAAGAATTTAGGTTCTTAACAAAAGGAAACATGGCATCTGACAGGATGCGGCGATGCGGATCTGCATAATTCCCTAAAATCCGCATCCTCCGCATAATTACGATATTTTCCGCATAAACAGAAGAAATGCCTGATATTAATGATAAAACAGCTGCTTACCATCCTCACAAACATAAAAGCCAAAGAGATTGACTGCTTTGAAACGTTTATTTTCCTGAACATTGAAGATCGATTGAAGAAAACATGTCATTTCGTTCGCAAGATGAAAGGTCGTGAACAGTTTCCACGCATTTTTCGGCAATGAGCCTGGACACTAGAATCTGTGTTATAAGTTACAAAATATCCTGTGTTATAAAATACAAATATCCGGTCGCAATTTTGCGACAAGATGTATGAAAATTCCGGTGCAAGTTATAGTCCCAGATTAAATTGTATCAGATTGTCTCAGATTGTATCATTTGTAATCTTAGGGAAAATAGGAGCCCGCAATACATATGTGTAAAAAACCGCTGAAAATGGTCAATGATTGAGGAAATGGATCGCGGTCCAACCATATTACAATTTTGCTCCATGTCTAAAAATTGAGACAAAATTCATGACGAGAAACAAAATAATATTTCATGGCTTTATTCATTTTAGCGAAAGTTGCGGCGAAATGCCAACTGCTAAAACCCTTTTATTTCAACGGTGAATGCTGGTCGCAAATTGTGACTCCTCCATATATTCTAATCACAAAGGGAAATAATTCAGTCACAAATGCGACTGTATTGATCGCAATTTCGAGTCCTGATATACCATAAGCATGTAAATACATTGGAAGGGCCTAATTATTAGTTTTAGTAATTGTTCAAATTTCCGCATAATCCGGTGTAATTTCCGCATAATCAACGCATGTTTACCCATAATATGGTCAAAAATTTACGCATAATCGTTAATTTTTTCCGCATCCTATCAGAAGCCCAGACTGGAAAGTGATTGATTACTCTGTTTTAAATCAGATTCTCTTAGATGCATTCATTATAGCTAATAGTAACCATCACATCATGATCTACATTTACTGTATTTAATGGGGCACTGTCAAAACTGGGTAAAAATTTGGTACTTTAGCTCCCACATAGTACAACAACAATCCTGACAACCCACAGTGTATTTATGGCACAAAGAGCTATTCGTATTTAATTTTTGGCGAATTTTTGAAGACACCATCTCCAAACTTGAAAAAACTGGCCAGTTTTCTCAAGTTTCAATCGATTTCCATCTTCTCCATCCTTGGCTGCAAACAACAAAGAACTGTTCCAGTACACTTCGATGGTTACTGGCAACAAAACTACACCGTTATTTTTTGGTGTGACACTACCCCTTCAAACACAGGTAGTTTTTACTTTATCTCTTTTGCAAAGTTTACATGAGTTTACTTCCAAAGAATTAAGAAAAAGAAAAACAACATGGCATGGAAAATGTTGGCTTATGAATGACCAGCAAAGGTAGGGCACTTAACATTTACAAAGTGAATCACTTGTTTTGCCTTAACCATCTGGATATGAATTTGGCATCTTAACCATTCTCCCCTCTGGAAATTCTGGGGTTTTTAAACTCCCACCCCTCTGTAATTTTCATTTCCCTCAGTGGTGGGGATCTGGATATTTCCTGGAACCACACACAATAATCTGTGCCTCTAGA